GAGGGAACCTCCCACTCCCGAGCCCCAGGCCGGGAAGCCCCTGCTCAGTGCTGGAAGGGAGCTCTGAGTGTGCACGTGGCTGGCAGAAACAAAGCAGCCCCTGCCCTGATGGTGAAAGGAACGTCCTTCTGCGCAGAGATGGGGAAATCCCCTGGGGCTTCCCCCCCGCCCGCCCTGCTGAAAGGGCGAAAACTAAGGCTAAAAGCGCCTGGGGAGGGAATTCCTTCCGCTATCAGCCCAGGAAAAACCTCCAAAGTAGCCCAGGTCGTCCCTGAAGCCACTCGCGACCCCCCACTCCCCAGACGCACCTCTGGTAAGCGCTGCTTGGTGTGGGAGGGGAGGGAAGCCAAGAGGAGGCGGGGAGCCGGCGCGCACTTCCCGCTCGGGTGACGAGAAGCAGCCAAAAAATCCAAGACTTGCTTGCTGTGGGCAGGTAGGAAAGCAAAAGGGGCGGAGGGTAACCAGTGCGCTCTGTCCCGCTTGTGTAAGGAGGTAAGGGGAAATCCTGGGTTTGCCTCACTGTGCCGGGAAACCCCGTTAGTCCACGAAGCCGCTCACAATGCCCCCCACTCCTCAGCCGCCCCCTCGCCGCCGCTCCCTCGCCGCCGACGCCTCGCCTCCGGTAAGCGTCGCTTGGTGTGGAAGGGAAGGGAAGCCAAGAAGAGGAGGGGAACTGGGCTCACTCTCCTACTCGTATAGCGAAATTCCCCCATAGGAAACACTGTGAAGCGCAATGAGGCCATCGTCTTGCAAGGCACCACTGTAGTGGTTTAACACTGCAGGAAAAAGATTGCTATAAAGTGGCACACTTGGAACAGCTAAGAACTTCAGTCCATAGGAACTCATCTGCACCCTTCCTCCTTCCTAGGACCAAACATACTCAAATAATTCAGTTTCTAGAAGTGCTCCCCCTAGTGATAAGAAATATTTTAACATATTGTGAAATAATATTAAAAGCTGAAACAGATAACATTGCTACTGCTTCTGGAATGTAAACAACCATTTCATTTTTATGTCTAATTCTGGAATTGTGCATAATAAAGTAAATCATGGTGCTAGGGAGAAGGCTGTAAGAGCTAGAAAGCCACATTTCACTGAACATGTGTTTTAGCTCCCAATTACAGGTTCTTAAAATGCAGGAGCTGGTAATACACTCTACAGTGGACCCTTGACTTACACATGGCTCCACTTACAGACCTTTCGAGTTACAGATTTCTCTGGCAGCAAAATTTAGGTTCGACTTGCAGCCGGAGAATCAACTTACAGACCCGGAAAAAAAACCAGAATCATTTCACTGAACATGTGTTTTAGCTCCCAATTACAGGTTCTTAAAATGCAGGAGCTGGTAATACACTCTACAGTGGACCCTTGACTTACACATGGCTCCACTTACAGACCTTTCGAGTTACAGATTTCTCTGGCAGCAAAATTTAGGTTCGACTTGCAGCCGGAGAATCGACTTACAGACCCGGAAAAAAACCCAGAATATGGAACAAAAACAGACGGTTACGGATTAATTGGTTTTCAATGCACTGTAGGTCAATGGAGCCTCGACCTAAAGACTTTTCAACCTGCAGCCACCATTCCAATACAGATTAATTCTGTAAGTCCAGGGTCTACTGTACTCATTTTCCTCCAATACCAGAGATAGGTTAGAGTACCAATCAACATGTCCTTGTGCACATTTGTAATTATCTGGGTGCATCAATTTAGACTGACGACACAGTGAAAAGGTTGTGGGTGGGGCACAGAGATTCAGAAGACAGTCCATTTAGAAAGAGGACCACTGACGTGCTGGCACAGATTAAGGGGAGAGAGTATTCCACCTAAGTACAAACTTCTCCTGAATCTTTGCTCACAGGCAAATAATGGTGAAGCTGATTTACCTTTCCACCCCCTGGCTGATGCTTCAAGTTATCAGTGGAACCAATCTTGGACTTGATATTCTTCAGATCTGGCATAGGAGCAGGAGCTGTCTGTAAGCGGCTCTTGGCAGAAGAAGGTGATTTTGGTGGAGTGCGAACCACCGCTACCTTTTTCGGCTCCCTGTTTGGTGGAGTTGGCAAAGAGGGTGTGCGGGAGCGGCTGCCCGGGGTTCCTGGAGAGCCAGGGCTGCTGTAGCCACTTCTATCTCCAGACTTCACTGGTTCACCTATAGTTTGAGATAAAAGTAATATAGATAAATGCATAAAAAGCATATTTTATCAGGTGATACAAAAGAACCTACTGTTCAATACAAATGAAGAAATCCATATACATCAGGGAAAGGGGGCATCAGAGTGTGGGCTCTACAGAGACACTTCTCATCTATTTAAAAAAAACTCTTGCAGAAAGTACTCACCAATAACATCACACTACCACAATGCTTTGTGCCCACTGATCCCAGTATACTATTGCAAAGGAATTATTAGCACATTTTTTGTTTCACAACAATGAACAAAACTGATATACACTCACTAGAAACTGGAATTTGTTAATCCATACCTAACATACATATTGTCTTAATCCAACAAGTTAATTATGAAATTGGTGAATAGATGACACTCCAAGTATCAAGATTGACATCATTATTTGCTGCCAATAGTACCACTCTGGCAGTTTCAGAATACAAAATACAATATTAGTATTGCAAATAAAGTATAAGCACACCCACATACCTAAATCACACACGTCCATTGTCTGCAGCCTTATTCTACAGTGCTGCCTATCATGATATAAATGCTGCTTCCCACTGCAAAGCAATCACTAAGCGAGGCACCACTGTATTAGTATTGCAAATAAAGTATAAGCATACCCACATACCTAAATCACACACGTCCGTTGTCTGCAGCCTTATTCCACAGTGCTGCCTATCATGATATAAATGTTGCTTCCCACTGTTATGTTATATTAGCCTTTTGTACTTAAGGAATATACTTTAGGCTTGGGCCACTGAGAGTGAATCACTAAGCGAGGCACCACTGTATTAGTATTGCAAATAAAGTATAAGCATACCCACATACCTAAATCACACACGTCCGTTGTCTGCAGCCTTATTCCACAGTGCTGCCTATCATGATATAAATGTTGCTTCCCACTGTTATGTTATATTAGCCTTTTGTACTTAAGGAATATACTTTAGGCTTGGGCCACTGAGAGTGAAACAGAATATCCCCCCCCCAATTTAACAAGCTGCAGATCCATTAAACGCAATCTACCTTCACCACATATAGCTGCCAGGGTCATGGAGAGACATGTGGCCCTCCATATACTGTACAGTGGTGCCTCTCTTAGCGATGTTAATCTGTTCCAGGAAAAACATTGCTAAGCGATTTAATCGGTAAGCGATTTTAAAAAGCCCATAGAAACACATTAAAACGTGTTTAATGCGTTCCTATGGACTTAAAAACTGACCTTATGCGAAGATCCTCCATGGGGCGACCATTTTCGGTGCCTCTAAAGTGAGGCAAAACAGCGGGCGGCCATTTTGTTTTTCCAGCGGCCATTTTGGAACCGCCGATCAGCTGTGCAAAAAGGGTCATTTTGCCATGATCGCTTTCCCGCAATCATCACAAAGCAATTTTTCCCCATAGGGGCCATCACTAAGCAATCGCTCTGCCGATGGCCAAAACCCCATCGCTAAACGATTTCATCGCTCAACGGAGCGATCGCTAAGCGAGGCACCACTGTATTGTTAGATTGCAATTCCCATCATTCCTAGCAGAGACATTGATGCCCCAAGAGGCTGGACCCTTGTTAACGCCACTTGTGCGGGGATATTCGTATATGAATATGAATACCCCCATTTCTAATCGTAATCATCTCAGAACTAAGAACAAAACATCACAATTTTCCACCCCTAAAAGAAAGTTGCCATAAGTCAGAATTGACTTGATGGCACTACTACTACTACTACTATTATTATTATTATTATTGCTGCTGCTGCTGCTGCTGCTGCTGCTGCTGCTGCTGCTGCTGCTGCTGCTGCTGCTGCTGCTGCTGCTGCTGCTGCTGCTGCTGCTGCTGCTGCTGCTGCTGCTGCTGCTGCTGCTGCTGCTGCTGCTGCTGCTGCTGCTGCTGCTGCTGCTGCTGCTGCTGCTGCTGCTGCTGCTGCTGCTGCTGCTGCTGCTGCTGCTGCTGCTGCTGCTGCTGCTGCTGCTGCTGCTGCTGCTGCTGCTGCTGCTGCTGCTACTGCTGCTACTCAGTCAATCAAAATTATAAAAACATTGACTAGTATATAACAGAAACAGGTTTAACCAAAAACATAAGTACCTGTTAACTCAGCACAGTGTGTATGCTATTCCTATTAATGACATTTTTATATCTCTGATAGTCTTATTTCTAAGATCTGCAACTGCTTATAATACCACATGAAATTTCTAGAAGTATGTTTCATCCACAAGGGAGATGTTTAAACTCCCAGATTTCTGTATTTTGTTAGTATTTCCAATTCTTTATCTTTAATTCTGGCGTGCCCTGGAATTGCAATGTCAATGATCCAGATCATCCAATGATTCTACTACCATTATGTCTGGTGTGTTAAGTTCAAAGTCTCTATCAGTTTGGATTCAGAAATCCCACAAGATCTTGACTTCATCATTTTCTGACACCTTCTGCACCTGATGTTCTCATGGGTTTTTGGAGCCTGGCAAGTTATATATATATTTTTTGCATAATGACCAGTATGCTTAATTTGCCATTCTATCATGTCTAATTTTGTAACCTGTTTGTGTAATCTTTGGACATTCACAGATGAGATGTGACACAGTTTCATCTTCTTGGCAGAGTCAACATTTGCTGTTAGCACTAATTCCTCGAATCTTAACTTTCATCACCTTGGTTTGTAGTGCTTATTCTTATGCAGCAAAAATTAAGCCTTCAGTTTCTTTCTTAACAGTCCACAGTTTCAGGCATGCCCATTTTGAATTACTATCATGATTTCCATCAATATTTCTCAGGTGTTGTCCATGTAGTGGTTTATTTTTCCAAATGTTTAATTTGTTTTCAAATTATTGTTTCTTATATTGAGCCTTTGTTTCTGTTTTCAAAATATTCTCCATTATCACTGCCTTAAGTAAGTTTTCTCTACCACTACTAATATAATTGTTTAAGCTTCTTTCTTTCTCCGCTACTACCTGCTGTATTTGCAGTAATCTACAGCCTCCAATTTTTTTGTGGTAAATATAATCCATACATATCACTTTCTGTCAGTTCTTTAACTGTTGTGTGCAATATGATATCTGCTTCTAGTACTCCAAGGTACTTATAATTTTCATCACTTACTAGTGGTGTTATAATATTGCCTCTTTTTAACTCTATCCAAACTAGTTTTTGGATGTTGCTAGATTATATAGACAGAGCTGCACATCTGTCAATTCTACATTTCATTTGAATATCTTCATCAAATGTTCACACTGTGTTTGGCAGGGATTCTATCTCTGTGAAACTTTTTGCATATAGTTTTAGGTCATTCATGTATAACAGATGATTGAGTTTTCCTGCTTGTTCTGAAATATGGTAACCAATGTACCCTGTAATTTTGCCCCACTGAGGAGGGCTCCGCCTCTCTCTGTGGCTACTTCACCTCTCCTCCATTGCAGGGTTCCGTAGCGGAGGGAGGCAGAGTCACACGTGACTTAGAAAAAATGTTGATGGTAGCCCAATCACATTTTATTTAAAATTGACATAGGGATTATTGAGATGTTAAACAGAAGTAGTGAGAAAGAACCACCTTGAAACATTCCTCTTTTTATGCAAACTGCTCCAATTTCTTCACCAAAGACCATTTTCCAAGTTTTTCTTGAGGAACCTCTGAATATTTTTACTATTTTTACTAATCCCCAAAAAATGTAAGGAGGTTGTTAACCCAGCTGTGTGGCAATGAGTCAAATGCCTCCAGGCCATGTTAAGATGATGATGATGATAATCAGGTCTGGAGATCAAGGTCCCCCATGGGCTGCAAAAATGGCCTAGAGCAGGGGTCTCAAACTCAATTTACCCGGGGGCCACTGGAGGCAGAGCCTGGGTGAGGAGGCTGAGCTGCATCAGATTTTCCGCCAAGCGGAGCAAGAGCCCGAGGAAGCTGCCCAGGAGTTTCCTTAGCTGACAGACAGGTGGGCTGGCTGGCAGGCTGCAGTTCTGGATGGAGGGTGCAAGAGGGGCTGTCTTGGGAGAGAGCCGGCAAGCGAGGCAAGGCTTTTTTTTACTCTTGACAGCAGAGGACATGTGGGTGCTTTGGGGGGGCAGGCAAGGCGAGGGCCACAAACTATCGTCTGGCGGGCCGCAAATGGCCGCCGGGCCGCATGTTTGAGACCCCTGGCCTAGAGATATGTGTGGCATTTAGGGCACAATTTGCCAACTTCTGCTGCAAGTGTCAAATAATGTAGAATTTCAAATATGTGCTTGAATGATGAATGAAAGGGGTGCACAGTTGTGCGTCTGTGGATGGATGGGGTGTGCTGTATATTGGTAGATGTGGGTGCGCTGTATATTGGTACATGTGGGTGCAAGAGCAAGGACTACTCTGGAATTTTAATTTCATTTTTCAATATGGTGCCACAGTTACTAAATGTACTCTGTGAGCAGTTAGGGCAATGTGGGGTGAATCAACATAGTTCTGTCACAGTTTTTATTCTTCCGGTCTTCAGTAAAACCTTGGCTTTTTCGAAGGGCTCATGGGGAAACTACTGGCTGAACAATTTACTCCCCGTAAGGCCATATTCTTTCAATTTTATATATTTATTTAATAGCTCGCTTATGATTTTGTCCAATTCTTTGAGAAAAACATTACACTTAATTTCTACTGTTTTTCTTAATGTTATCGCATGTATTTACAACAGGAGATAATAATGTCACCCATCAAGAAAAAAGTTAAAGCAAATATCAAGGATTTGCAGAGTTCTTATGCAAGTCCCAGAACACTGATCTGGAATGCTTTAGAAATGAAGAGCAATTTATGGGCAAATATTTTTACCTCTCTCAGATTTTGCTGCTGTACTAGGGGGCCTTCTTTGCTCCTTCTTTGCAGCTGAAAGAACAAAAATAATCAATGGGTGAACTTATAAACTTCAAATGTCTGTTTTTGCTCTTAGCAAAACAGATGTATGTAACAGTGGAATAACAAATTCATAATGAACATACATGGGATCGATTCAGAAAATATGGAAAAGCACTGAATTCATTTTTAAATGCTGGGAAGGTCAGTTCACCTACTAGGCAGCAATCCACTGACACAAAATATGACTGTTTCTTGCAGATTCATTAAAACTTTGTCTTATAAGGACCTAATGAAAAGAAGCTAGGAATGCATCCAGGTGGACAGTTCCTACGGCTTCCAATCAAGATACTGTGCAGTGATTCCATCGTTTCCCCTTTAATAAAAATTTTTCCGTAAGAAGAAAAACTGAAGTAGTTGTGGAAAACCACAGGTTAATTAAGACAAGATCACTTACACAAATTCTGTAGTTCACAAGGAAGTCCCCAGTAGAAACACCTTATTTCTCATGGCACGTTCATTAAGATCCCTACCTTCAGGACACTCATCTATTCAACACTGTAAAAGTTACACTGTTAACATCAAGCACTCCTTCTCCAGAGTTCACTTCAGTTTTTGTTCAAAGATTATCTCCCTATGCACTGTTCCTGGTCATGTTGACAACCGAGAAAATGCGCTTAGGAAGGAAACTTTCTGATACTTTCACCTCAGATGCTACAATTAAAAGTCAAATCTTTATATCTTTGTATAGGTATGCAGAAGAGACCTCAACAACAACAACGAAGAGAACTTTTGCATTGTTGCATCATAACTATCTGGGAGAGAATCAACATACCACAAACCCCTCCCCTTACCTAGGCTGGGTGGTGTCTTGGGAACACTGGGAGTTTTGGCAGGGATCCGTGAAGCACTGGCTGGGCTCTTCTGGTTCTGTGCCACAGGGGCTCGTGGAGCTGCTATCTTCGATGCATTTTTCATATCTGGACCCTGTTAACAGAATTGAGAAACAGCTAGTTTTGTTGCACTGCTCATAACCTAGATAAGAAAAACAACGACAAAGGGTGGGCACATTCTCCTTCTGAGCTTCAGAAACATAACAAAAATTAACTCACAACTCTCCAGCAAAGCTGCTGAATAAGTTTGTAACAATAACATGCAGGACTCTGTAAGAAGTGTATGATTTAAATATAGGCTTATTACATGTCTTAGATGAACATTGGGGGGGGGGAGGGAAGACAATGTTTTTCTCACTTGGAAGCTAGTTTTCCCCATAATGTATTCCCCTGGGAAGTAAATTCACAACTTGCCCAGTGCAAAGTCAGACTCCATCTAATAAAGAGTCCTAATACTGTCCATTCTGTATCACAGTGATTATATTACACTACTGAATAGCACCAACAGCAGGAGACAAATGTCACTCATTGTTGCTGCTTTGCACCATAGTTCAAATGCATTATGTACCTTATACATAGTCTGGTTGGGTCCAGACTATCTGAAGGACCACATTTTCCCACATGAGCCTCCCCTTCATCTTAAGATCTTCACAGGAAGACCCCTCCCCCTTTTTTTCTTTCCTTGCCCTTGCAGGCACATCTGGTGAGAACTCAAGAGAGGATCCATCAGTGGCTGTTCCTAGGTTATGGAACTTCCTTTAACTTTTTTGCTAGGTTAACCCTTCCCTGTTGTCCTTCAGCCAGCAGGCAAAGACTAATCCCTGAAGGCAAACTTTTGGCAAATGAACAGACTCCAAAGAAAGTTGTTTTCACCTAGAGATTATGCTCTTTTATTTTTTTAATAACTGATTTTAATGTACCATATTTTTCTGTGTATAAGACACCCCATGTATAAAATGCCCCCCACTTTTCTAAATCAAAATTTCTTTCTTTGCAAGAAAGTGGGAGGGAAGCTTCTGCTTTCCCCCTACATTTTCACTGCAAAAAGCAGCTTTCTGCCTCCAGGTTTTGCAAAGAAAATGCAGGGGAATGTGATTTCTGCTTTCCCCCTACATTTTTATTGCAAACCTTTTTGCAAAACGTGGAGGGGGGAGCTGTTTTTTGCAACAAAAATGTAGGGGGAAAGCAGAAATCGCTTTCTCCCTCCATTTTCTTTGCAAAATGTGGAGAGGGAAACAGGGATCAAAGCAGTTCGATTCCTTTCCCACCTTACTTCCAAGTACAGTATAAAATGACCCTCAATTTTTCCTTCAATTATTTTAGGGAAAAGTGTCGGTTTATACACAGAAAAATATGGTATATGCATTTCTTTCATACTTCCAGTATTTTCAGTTCATGGTCTTTTAATATAAGTATGTGCTTCAGTATATATGCACTATTATAATTTTTAACTATTGTATCTGCATTTTCACCTGCCCCCATTTTGCAAGCTGCCTTGGGTCCCTGAACTGGAAAAAAGGGGAAGAGAAATGAAATGAAATAAATCACATTTTATCGACTATGTCAATAATATGAAGGTAATACCTGAAAAACAAATTGGATGAAAAAGTGTTTAAGCAAAATGGAAAATATTGGCTAAAGAAAGTTTATATTTATATTTATTTTTTATTTATTTATTGGACTTATATACCACCCCATAGCACTACAAGCACTCTCCGGGCGGTTTACAATTTTAATTATACAGGCTACACATTGCCCCCCCAGCAAGCTGGGTACTCATTTTACCGACCTCGGAAGGATGGAAGGCTGAGTCAACCTTGAGCCGGCTACCTGGGATTTGAACCCCAGGTCGTGAGCACAGTTTTAGCTGCAGTACAGCGTTTTAACCACTGCGCCACGAGGCTCCTTTAATTTCCTTTCTGTGTTGCAACGATATGTAATAAACCTTAAGCTCTCTCAACAGTCACATCACTGCATTAAGTGGCAGTTTCTTTGGTTTCATTAAAAATGTATTAGAGTTAAATGAACATAATTTCAGAGCACCGTGAGGTTGTTTATCTATGCATTCCTCAACACAACTTTAAAGAATCGCTTTTCAATCCTACTTTGGACCCTTAAAATATCAGAGAAACTGAAGTAAGGTGGGGTGGTGCAGCTAGCCATAACCAGGTAAAGCATGTCGACACCTTTATGCTTAGGAAATAGCAGGAAAGGTACAAAATAGTTGTACATGCACATACCAATCTAATAAAAGGCAGGTGAGCAAATACAAGAGATTGTAAATCTCCTCTTCCTGCTTCTTTTTCAATCATTTCCTTACCTTGTATTTTTTCTCTTTTGTTCCTGTAGTGGTTGGTCGGGATGCAATAGAGGAAATGCATTTAGGGGCAGGAACAGGTACTGAGGACTCAGCAGGACTGGAGTTTTTTTTCAAAGGAATAGAACTAACAGAGGAGTTTCGCTTAGGGGTAACAGAAGATCTGTGTTTCAGGGTTTTGACAGAGGCAGGTATGAATGTCTTTAAAACATGCAAAAAATATATATAATTAAACCAAACACCAGTATGAGAAAATAATAATAAAAATAAAATGAAAGAAGGTGATGTTTAAAGGAAAGTAAGAAGGACTGATGACCTTAAATTCTAAGAAGTCTAACAGGAAGTTACAACCTAAATGGAATTAACCCTTTTTCTACCGTCATGCCAGACATTCACCTGTAGAAGGATTAGGCTACAATATCACTAATGTTTGAACATTCATCAAATGAACATTTGGAAATATGGTTGCTTCCCATGAACCTGTTTACTGTATAGCGTTTGTTCCCGCCAAAGTTATCATAAAATATAATCTTAGTAGTGGTTAATCAGAAATTCCTGTATCTCACTACAAAACCTACAAAGATAGGTGCAGTTTCTGCTATTGTTTCTCCCACAGGAACAACTATGGCACTTCTGGGTTGTCTGAGGACATTTTCATTTTTTAAGAAACAGTTCATTTCAAAACCATAGTCCAAATAATTTTTTTCAAAAAATTCACCACAATGTATCATTGACAAAGAAAGAAAGTTTCCTTAATAATTACAACTCCTAGGACCCTGTGGAGTCAGCAAACTAACTTTTGCCATGCAATTGATATGGAAGTCTGAGAGCAGAATGCATTTACTTACTTTTACAAATTCAGAAATAAAAGGTGAGGACAACAAATTTTAGAAACTTAGAAACAGAACCTAGGGGAGGAAGTCTTAGATATCTAGCCCACTGGTTCTTAACCTTGGGTTACTCAGGAGTTTTGGACTGCAACTCCCAGAAGCCTTCACCACCAGCTGCCCTGACTGGGGTTTCTGGGAGTTGCAGTTCAAAAGCATCAGAGTAACAAAGGTTAAGAACCACTGATCTAGCCCACAACAAGACTTTCCAAACATGAGCTTTGTAAAAAAAAAAGTCTAGGATATACTAAAGCAATCCCTTTCACACCTCTTGCAGGTGCCCTGATCTAATTTACCCTCTCTTCACACAATTCAGTCCTTTGTGTATTCCTGATCATACTGAGGTAAAGAAGCTATTACAAAGCACAGACTTCAGGGAAAGGAATTAAGTTTGCTGATTTTATAATAGCAAGAAAAAAAGGGAATGGAGTAGAAGCAAAGACTTCTCATTCATTTATTTTTTTTATTTATTTATTTGATTTATACCCTGCCCATCTGGTCTAAAAGACCACTCTAAAATGCGTATTTGTTTAGATTTCTACCAGTTTCACTAGTAAGTACTGCATGAGTTATAATTTAAGGCAAATACACATACAGTGGTGACTCGCTTAGCGATGTTAATCCATTCCAGGAAAAACGTTGCTAAGCGATTTCATTGCTAAACGGAATTTAAAAAGCCCATAGAAATGCATTAAAATGTGTTTAATGCGTTCCTATGGGCTTCAAGACTGACCTTATGCGAAGATCCTCCATAGGGGTGGCCATTTTTGGTGCCTCTAAAGCGAGGCAAAACAGTGGGCGGCCATTTTGTTTTTCCGGCGGCCATTTTGTAACCACCGATCAGCTGGCCGAAAATGGGGGCTTTGTGATGATCGCTTCCCCGCAATCATCGCAAAGCGATTTTTCCCCATAGGGGCCATCGCTAAGCAATCGCTCTGGCGATGGCCAAAACCCCATCGCTAAGCGATTTCATCGCTCAACGGAGCGATTGCTAAGTGAGGCACCACTGTACAAGACAAGCTAACATTTAAGACATGTAAGTTTTTAAAGCTTAACTCTGACCATCAAAGTCAGTCCACATAGAAAGAGTTACTATGTTTTATAGCACTGACTTATTGACCAGACAAAAGGAAATAGTTTGTTTTATAAAATTCTGACTCAGATTGGACATTGGGCTTTGGTAGGGTGGAAGACAACAAGACTGCAATAGTTCAAGGACAGCATTTCACAGACAGACATTTTGGATAGCCCAATCATATTTAAAGACTTCTAGTACATATTAGGTTGATCCGGAAGGATCAAACAAAACGTTTCAAGACACAGCAAGAACGTGGAGAGGAGTGTTTATTTATGTAAATCACAGCTTACCTTTGGTTTGGGCTCTTCGGTCGCAATCTCATTCTTATCTTTGCTGTCCATACGAGCTGATAAGAAAGAAAAAACACAATTATGTATACTGCATTTATGAAATAGAAGGGAGCTCTAAAATTTACAAAATGGTAGCCAACATAGAGTGCTTCCAGACAGTCCGTCCCAGCCCTACCAAGCAAAAGGTACTGGGCAGCTATTCCCTTGTTATCAAAATTTTGGTGGTAAGAGAAAAGCCAACAGTAATGGTGGAGGGAAACACAAAGATGTTTGAAGCATTAACACTACAAAATAAAAGCTTTGTCTGGAAGCAGTCTTGGGTTCTAACTAGAACATGCAATCCTCCATTATGCTTATGTAGACAAGTAACAGGAAAGCCTACTATTTATAGAACCATATTTCTGTTTTTTTTTAAATGGTTCTCACTCTCTTTCAAGCTGATTTTTAATGCAAAAAGCAAGCAAGTGCTCCAGAGAAGCAGCAGAAAAGAAAAAAAAAGCTGGCCAGCTGTATTGGGGAAACAAAATACGATGTGTTCCCATCCAATTGGTACAATTTCTGGCAGCTCCCTCAAATGTTTTGTATGAAGCTCTGTTTGCTGTGTGATGTCAGGAACTGGCAAGACTACTTTGGACTATAACTACTGAAAACAAATCACTTTAACAGCCTCTCACTAGCAATACAAAAATCTTGGTTCTAAGCTTGGATGTCTAATTCCCTAAAAAAGAGGAGCAAAGCAATTATTCACTTTCCCATCTTAATTTGGACTGGCTGATTTGTATGCTCTGAATGACAGACTTTTCAACATATCACAAAACGCGTATCTACGACAAAAGAAGAAGGGAAAATTGCAAAAATCATGTGAAATGCTTCAAAATAGCCTTTCAAAAGACTATTTTGTCCCTTGGCCCAGGTTCAGACGTTGAAACAAATCACAGTTTTATTCACTTCTAATTTTTGTAACTGCCGTTCATTTTTGTGTTTGAACCAACAAACTGCACCTGTTTGATTTGTCTGAAGGATGTCAGTGTCAACTCTTGTATCATTAAGTTTGTCTGTTTCAAACCAATTACAGTCAAGAGATCACCAAGGCTGCGGGGTTCAATGACACGTTTCCATTAATTAACAAAAAAACTTTCCTGAAAGACGAGAAGCCTGAAAGACGAGAGGCTTGCTGGAGCTTGTTTCCAAATGCCTCATCTTCATGGACCTTCAACATGATTCAACAAGGGTTCACTTATATAAAAAGATTTCATGGTGTTGAAAGCAAATGCTGTTTTTAAATCATTCACAAATCAGCAAGTTTCTCTAGATATCTGTGAACTCCATCTACCATAGAAAATTAACCTATCAAAGCATGACACAAGTGTGGTTATTATCTAAATATAATATGTTGGTGAGCTAAATCTGAAAGGTCTGATGGGATGTTAGATTCAAAAAAGAAATTATTAACAATAATATGCACAGAAACTGTATTGTAATTAGGAAGCCTATGTATTGTGATGGCCTACACAAGAAACTCAAAGCCTTGAGATCTTACATGCTGAATGCAAGACTATTTTATGCTGTCTTTATAACTTTATTTTAAATTTCAGCACCAGTACCATCCCCCAATTCTTGGACTAGAACTCCCAGAAGCCTTCACCACTAGTTGGCCAAGATTGCTCGGAGTTGTAGTCCAAGAACATTTGGGGACGTAGAGTTGGAGACCACTACCCCAAATCATGAGATCCTCTCCCCTCCCCAAAGCAAGTGTGCTGGATTAATTTTAGAATCATCTGTGGAAAGTCTGTATAGAACACACTTCTTTTTCTTCTTGATGCTTTCAAGAGGTTTTCCTTTCAGTGGTTCAGAGCAATGACTTGAAAACCAAATGCATACTACTAGCGTATACAGTTCAGTCTGGCCAAAATATCTCTCTTCACTACATATTAAAGCTGCTGAGAATTATCACCTAATCAATTTGTGAGAAAACTTTAGTCTTCTCTATTAACTAATCCATTAAATAATCCTTCTAGACACCTAAAATTCAAGAGTTTCCTTGGATCTCGTTTCGCCATTCCAAAAATTTATTGGGGGGGCGTCATTCCAGTACTCTAATGCTGACAGGCATATTATCTGACACAGTGGTTATCAGTGTCAAAGAAAATCCTAATGTTGTTCTCCATCCTGAATTTACCCAGAGAGACCAACAGTCAGTCACACAGTCAGTGAGTGTATGCAAGGCATTCTCCCACATAAGCACTCTGAGATGCCAAGGATTTACAGCATCAATACAAGCTCTTTCTTGTAAAATGTGGTCTTGACAAGATTTAACAGCATGCTTCTCCCTAAGGTAAGCATTATCATACGTAATGGATGATAATAGGATGTTTCTTCCATTGAGACTACCCCTTAACAAGCCCTGAGAGCTGAGAGATCAAGAGCAATAGAAATTAATAGAAAGGACTAACTTTTGAGAAGAGAGTCAGATACTTAGGGATCCAAATCAGAAAGAAAATGAGTACATTATTCAAAGACAATTATATGAGGTTGATTAAAGAGATACAGATTAGCTCAGAGAGATGAGACAAATTATAGCTATCGTTGATGGGAACAATAGCAACCATCAAAATGAATGTTCTACCTAAAATTGTATTTTTATTTCAGACAATTCCCATAATATTAACTATCAATTTTTTCAAGAACTTAACAAGATAATCATGAGATTTGTGTGGTAAAGTAAAAAACCAAGAATTAAAATCAAAGCAATGCAAGATGCCAAACAAAGAGCAGGTTTTGGGCTCACAGATTGGGTATTGTATTATAGAGCCTGTGTATTAGTCTGGATAAAGGAATGGGTAACTTTAGATAATGATAGACTATTCAAGTTGGAAGGACATGATTTACAGTTAGGTTGGCATGCTTTTCTATGGTATAAAAAAAATAAAGAGCAGAAAAGTTTCAACTCGCATAGGATAAGCAGAGCCCTACTAGGGATTTGTAAAAAGATCATCCAGCAGATTTACCAAAAACACCAGGCTGGTTATCAGCCATAGAGGCCTTTACACAACCTAACCTCATGTAAGAAATGAAACTTTTAAGATATTAAGATCTATTTAAAATGATTGTGAGTTAAGGTCCAAAGACGAGTTAGAAACACAAAACACGTATACAGACTGGTGGTCTAGAGCACAAGTGTAATCTAGGTTAGGAAAAGTAAAATAGAGGGCTTTTGCAAAGAACAAACAATATTCGATAAACTTCTGCTGGGCTCAAATGATAAAGTAATTAAGAAAATGTATGATTATTTGCTTGAAACTAAAATGCAAGATGAGATGGTAAAAGAATGTATGACTAGGTGGGCACAAAATACAGGACATAATATTGATATTGATCAATGGTTGCAAATATGGGAAAAAAACACTCACAAAATCAGTAAATTTCAAGGAGAACATATATAAGACATTTAATAGGAGGTTTATGACTCCAAAATTGTCAAAGATTTATAGAGAGCTGTCAAATGTTTGTTGGAAGTGTGAAGCACAAGAGGGAAGCTCTTACCATATGTGGTGGACTTGTAGAGTAGTGAAACAGTATTGGATAGCAGTACATATTTTGTTACAAAAAATACTGCTTTGAAATGTTCCACTAACCCCAGAATTGTTTTACTGAGCATTATACCAGACAATATAGATAAGACAAAGAACTACCTAGTTTTATATATATATAGTCACTGCAGCTAGAATTCTTTATGCTAAGAATTGGAAGAAATTGGAGATACCGAAACAAGAGGAACTCATTGAGAAGATATGGGAAGTGGCAGAAATGGATATTCTATCTGGTGTTGAAAGACTGTCCAATACAAAAGGCAACTGAATGATGGGATTTATTATATAAAGGGCTTGAGCCACCAGATAGTGCTTGAATAACATAGAATTAAACTAAGATGTAACTAAGTTGAAACTTGGAGGGCAATCAAATTGTAGAAAGACGAAAAGTCGACTTGATACCGCAACATGAACAGATTGGATGATAGTACATTTTGTGTTCCCCTTTCCCCCCCCCATCCCCCTCTACCTTTTGTACTCCTTACCTTATCCCTAGTTGTTAAAAATTAAAATTTTTTAAAAAGCCCTGAGTGCCATTCACTGCCCTGAGTGGCAGTGTTCAATGACAAAACACCTTATCCCTAGTTGTTAAAAATTAAAAATTTTTAAAAAGCCCTGAGTACCATTCACGAGTGGCAGTGTTCAATGACAAAAGTTGACAGTACACACTATGGAGATATTTCAGCATGCAAAATGACCATTCTAGAAATTCTGAAAAACATCATATATTTGCATGAGTAGAAAATATGTACATTATTTTAGAAAATTCCTTCTGTTCTTTATAGTCTCCCTTTAATTTCATATGGGGATATTTCAGAAATAAAGTATCTAACAAAAATTATGATCTTGCCACTTCGAAACTTTTGGGAGATCTGAATCGGAGACATACTCCTCCTTGCTCTACTCCAGATATGCAGAAGTATTTGTATCTTGTATAGTAGGTAAATAGGTGAACAGTTAGTTCTGTTTTATGTTTCTTCTCAGAGGAGAACAGAAGGAATTTTCTAAAATTATGTACATATTTTCTACTCATGCAGCTCCTAGTAGGGTAAGATAACTTGAGACATTTGAAATACAATTTCCTAGAATGGAAGAAGATCTTTCTAAAGTAAATACAAAGACATTTAATGAAAGAAAATTATGAAAGGATCTATTATTAAGGATCTTTTGCTAACTACATTAGCTAGCAGCAGCCACCACCTTTGCCTTCTATAGCTCAGTGATGCAAGGAAAAGGGAGTGACAGAGGAAAACCTTTTTTTATCTTTCACACATGAGACTAACAGGTGTCATGAAGCCTCCTATGCACTGTTTATGCCATATATGAATGTGTGATGAATAACAGGAAAAAAATGCAAATTATAGTCAGTGGATATTTAGTATTTGCATGAGACGTTTAAGCAGAAGCTTATATAAGTGAAAAAGCTTATAATACACAGCACAATAATCTCTGATGGTTCCAGTCAGTGGATATTTAGTATTTGCATGAGAAATTTAAGCAGAAGCTTACATAAGTGAAAAAGCTGACAATACACACCACAATAATCTCTGATGGGGCCCTCATTAGGCATCCTTCAGTCTCAAGAGACTATGGTAATGTGCTCCGTATGGAGGTCTTGGAACAGGTCTATTGTGGCTGAGAAGGCCAATTCAAAGAGTGACAATCCCTGCCACACTGAAGACAAATACAACCTGTCCCCTTGTCTAACTCCCTAATTTTGCTGGTTTCGGGACTGCCTCTTTGCCTTGGCATCCTGGACAAGTGTCTCTTCAAATTCGGATAGGCCGTGATGCAACGCCTGCCTCCAGGCTGAACGCTCAGATGTCAGGGTTTCCCATCTGTTGAAGTCCATTCCTAAGGCCTTCAGATCCCGCTTGCAGATGTCCTTGTATGGCAGCTGTGGTCTCCCTCTGGGGCAATTTCCCTGCACTAATTTTCCATACAGGAGATCTTTTGGAATCTGACCATCAGCCATTCTGACAACATGCCCAAGCCAACGTAGACGTTGCTGTTTCAGTAATATACACATACTAAAACAACGTGTGATCAGAATCAGAGATCTGCGTGACTAATAAGACAACAGCTCATAAAATGAAATTCCCAAAATGTCCAAAATCAATTAGCCCCACTGTTTCTCTAAATCAGGGTCTCCAAACTTTTCAGCATGAGGGCCACATAATCTATTTTACAAATTTTTGAGGGCCGAAGGAACATACACGCACAGGCTGAAGGGAATAGACCTGAGCCTGCAGCAATCGCTGGGCCAGATGTCACCCCTGCTCTAAATGGAATCTATTTTACTCGTTATATTTATTAATTGCCTACAAAGCATATGAGATGAAGCAAAAAGTAAAAGAGAAGAATTCCACTGAACATAATTGGGGTTTGGGATTAGTAAAAGAATGCATGCAAGAAGAGCATGCAGCCATTGCATCAATAGACTGCACTCACTCATAATGTCTAAATGAAGAAGCAGAGGATATAAAACAGTGCCACACCAACATTTTTATTTTCTGCCAGTCTTTCAGCATCATGGTTCAGCCAAGCAATGTGCAAGCTCATATAGTGGTTTCAGCAGCTTTGCCATCTTTCAGCAGGGCAACTGAGCCACATACAACACGAACCTTTCGGAAGTGGCAACCGGCTGCTCTGCTTCTCTGGTGTACTGGCAGCTTTCTTTCCATGAGCCTTCTGCCGTTCTGTGTTCTGCACTGTATCCATTGTCTCCCCTTCCAGGGAAATGATCTCTTCCAAAAGCTTGCCTACTTCTAGTTTATTATCCAAGACTTCACTCTCCTTCTGGATATTAGCATCAACTTCAGCTTGGTAAAAATTCTTTAGGGACTCAAGTTCTGCAACTGTGGTACACCTTTCTTCTGAAAAGAATGGCTCTCTCTCATCCAGAATGTTCTGCTGAGCTGTTTCATCAGTGTCCCTGTCTTGATCCTTCCCCTGCCCAAACACATCTTCTTTCAAAACAACTCTGAAGTAGAGGGAGCCATCAGCTGTTGGAAAATATGCCTTGTGAGAGCTCCCACAGGCTTACTACAAATTAAGCAAGTAAATTCTCTTGGAAGCCCACCCTTCTATTTCATATACATCATTTATTGGTATAAATTCTGCATCCAACTTTAGACACTGGTGTCATACACATCCCAATGGCCTCTTAAACAATTTTACCTCTTTGCCCAGCAAATTCTTTACACAGTCTCAAGGCAGCCTCTCCAGCTGTATAGAACCCAATGTATAGTATGGCATTTCTGGCATAGTGGCTATGTAAAAGAATTCCATAATATCTGTTATTTTGGTTTTATTTGACTATACGGGGTCTCTTTCATCAGGTGGTAAATTAATTTTTTTTTTGTATCTTGAACCTATGAATTTTCTACGGAAGTGAGAAACACTATAAAAATGAAGGCTACCACAGTCTGCTGTAGCTGGTTTTATAGGCTTCTAAGTAATCTGACTAACTTGTATTTGTACATGACTTATATTTCTAATTTAAGAAGCAAAAAGGTCATAGCACCACTTGCTGTAAAAAAATAAATAAATCCAACTTTGTAAACTTTCCACACAATTCACAAACCTGCTTACATTCAAAAAGCTACATTTCTCAGTGTGAGATAAGGTACTGAAACACATATCTAAAGATTAATGTTAGCACAAGATACAACACAAATTTCAGAATGAGAGAGATCAATATTTGGCTATCTATAAAGGACCTCTATAATCACAGTTTATCAGATACACAATTTGTCATTTCCATTTCACAGAGCAGAAATGGAGTTTGTAACATAAGCTCATCTATTAAGTCATATGTTCAACCAGTACAGTATTACTTTCATAGTACTGTTATTTTGTAGATATAGTTACCCAGCCCTTCCTCCCTTCCACCCACCCGAATGTCTTTTTTTCTTCAAGGCCTAAGCTGACATGATTTCTTCACAAACAATTATCTTGCATCTTGCATCTTCTTTTCCACAACTTTTCCTAGTTCTCCAGTATCCTTTTTGAAATTCTATATTCTTTTTGAGCTGGTGGCCAAAATTATAAGATTGTATTGAAGATGTGGACATAACAGCTTGGTTTTCATGCAACAATAAATAAGGATACTGGAAACTTTTGACTCCAATTTTGAATGAGCCACAGTTTAGCACTGAGTTCAATGCACTTTTTGGCATCAGAGTTTAACAAACTGTGATTATTCTGTGAATACATTAAATAAGTCTACTTCATAAATTATAGTTTCAAGTGACTTATTTCAATAAACTATAGCTACAACTTACAGCAATTGCCTAGGTCTGGACATAATACTTAACTGTGGTTAATAAAAACAAAGCCAAATAAAGAAGTATAATGCATATAAGGAAATGTAACAGAGGTAAAGAAATGCATTGTTCAACCTTTTTGTGTTCTTATTTTGGCTATGAAAATGGTCATCAAAATCCACCAAAAGGCTTCATATTCCCAAGCCCCACGGGCCCATTGTTTCCAAAAGAAAAAGTGAGGAGATATCATTTCTAATTTTGAGGACAGTCGTCCATGGGTCTCAAACGATCCCAGACTCCCAGATGATCCAAAATGACCAATCGTGTTCCTGAAGGCTTCTGGGAACATGTCTTACCATTTTATGGCCTTTTTTTCCTCTTCAGAGTGAAGAATTTAATGGTGGGCACAGGATAAGTATGGCCCTCCATGGTCCAGGGGTGCTAAAGACTCCTTAGCTGATGCAATTTGACAACATTTAATCTAAGAGAAGTTAAAACTGTTTTCTTGTTAAGGGAAATTGTTTAGACTAAATTTAGATTAAAACATTTTCCCATTGTTCTTATGATAAATTGTTGAGTGAGCTTAAAAGTAGGGTTGGAATGGGGACAGCCTTTAGTATAGAAGAATCACCAGTGGCAGTTTTAAATTTACATCAAGAGAATCTCAGCTACTGCTTTCCAAAAACTTTTAGTAAAAGCTGGATTTGTACTGTATTTGGTTTCATTTTGGTTGAGATTTTGTTATTCCTTCCTTGTATGACTGCTGGTATTATCATGCTATCTAGTACACTGGTTCTTAACCTTGGGTTACTCAGGAGTTTTGGACTGCAACTCCCAGAAGCCTTCACCACCAACTGTGCTGGCTGGGGTTTCTGGGAGTTGCAGTTCAAAAACATCTGAGTAAAAAAGGTTAAGAGCCACTGATCTAGTACATACAGTTGGCTGGGTGAGTAATTTCCAGAAGCCAAAGCACTGTTTAGCATAGAAAGACAAGACACAAAAATATCCTCTTTTTACCAGTGACTACAGTGGTGCCCCGCATGACAATGATAATCCGTCCCACTGAAATCGCTGTTTAACAAAATCATCGTCATGTGAAAACCGTTTCCCCATTGGAATGCATTGAAACCCGTTTAATGCATTCCAATGGGGAAAATACATTGTCGTCCTGCAAAGATCGCCCATAGGGAAGCCATTTTGTGAGTGCCGATCAGCTGTTAAAATGGCTGTCCTGCGAAGCATGGGTCCCAAAAACACAGGGAAGCCATTTTGCAAAGCTCTAGACCAGCTGTAAAAATCATCCTCTTGAAAAAAAACGGTCCGTGAAGCACGGACCAAATCATCGTCCAGCGAAAATCTCCCATTGGAATCACTTTTGCGAATCGCTATAGCGATCGCAAAACCGCATCGTCATGAGGTCGTCGTCTAGCGAGGTGCCGCTGTATTAAAGGAAGGGCAAAACTAGCTGGTTTGTCCAATATCCTCTCTCACAATATAAACGACATGCCATTATACTTCCAAACGTTCCCTCCAAAAGATGAGAGGTGAGGGGGATTGCACAAATCCAAAGCAATCTGTGTCTTATTCCAAGAACAATAGCTCCTCATGGAATTAGAATAATAAATTTCCATTCATGCCTGCAATTGAATAATAGAACTAATAGAAGCATAATGATTTAAAGATTATTTCCTCCAGAACAGTAGCAAATAAAGAATGCAGCTGACAAGATTGCAGCAGTCCAATTAGGAAAGAAAAACACTTGAGAAATAAAAATCAGTTTTACAGTAGAAATTCCTCCCATTAAAAATGAATTTATTGGGAGGTTCAATAATAAAATGGGCTGTACAGCAAGCAACATACCAACTGAAAGTCTTATTGTACACAACTTCCATCCCAGCATAGTACTACAGAGCTCACTATTTTAAATTCTGCAAATAAAATAAATTAAAATAATAAAAATGCTGTGCTTACCTTGAGCATCCCCGGCAGCATGGGCCTCATGGTTATGAGTAGAGACTATGACTGCTTCCTCAGCTACATTTTCCAAAGTAACAATGGGAAAATGGGTTCAACATTAAAAGTGGTACATGACTAATGGCTTATATGAGTAAATGTATTGTAGGCAAACATATTACACACTTAATAATAAGAGCATATTAATATGCATTTATACTAAGTGTGGCAACACATTTTAATGAACATGACATACAGTAATGAAAAACAACCCCAGTGAAATGATCAGCCATGATCTTAGATGCTCTTGAATGATATTTATGAAAGTGTTAGACACTCAAAGAAAAAATAGACAACTTCTGTAAAACAAAATCTGCCCCCCAAAAATGTAAGGGCTGGGAAAGAAAAGAAAAACATCTCACCTTTATATCCCAATACTTCGAGGAGATAGGTATGCCTAAAGTAATCAATTTGCTTAGGCATGATTAATGGTCAGTTGTGTTACGGAGATGAAGATTTATTGCCTTCAAATACAGATACCATATACTGCATATGTTCGCCAAGCTAAGAAATCTAGTGTGGTACAGCTTTGCTCCCTCTGCAGCTGAGTTAACTGGTTGTACTGAGAACAAAATGGTCAATTCCCACAATCACTACCTCATTCCCTAAAATGCCTCTTTTGAAGCAACTGAAGTTCACATGTTGTTTCTCCCTCATACATTATAATTAAAGTCTGTCAACTAATATTTGTAAAACACATTTGACAAGGCTCAGTTATCTGCCACCTGACTTGAGAACTCTCACTAGAGATTTCTTATACAGTTTTTATAGATTTGCATTATCTGGTAGCAATCAGAGCTACTAAGAAGGGAAGATAAATAATCCTTAATATTCTGAATCTAATGAGAATGTTCATTAGAAGCTGGACTGGAAGCAATGACACATATGTGTATGTGTGAGAAATGATAGTGGAGGCCTGAGCAGTTTCTCTGTAAATCTAATGCATCTAATTGGTTTTCCAACCTGGCATAGTAATCTACTTTCAATATACTCTGCTTCCATGTTTGTAAATGGAAAAATAGATTGCTTGCCTGTAATCAGCAATATGTGTATGTGTGAGAAATGATAGTGGAGGCTTGAGCAGTTTCTCTGTTTGTAAATCTAATGCATCTAATTGGTTTTCCAACCTGGCATAGTAATCTACTTTCAATATACTCTGCTTCCATGTTTGTAAATGGAAAAATAGATTGCTTGCCTGTAATCAGCATCAGAATTCTGTATCTGTATAAAGCAACACCACAGAAAAATAAAATTTTATAAAGCAGGAACTGGTAACTTCTCCCTCCCTAGGGGACAGCATGTAAGGTCAATGATCAGAACCCACTGCACATATCTAAAGGGGGCAGGGTGAATGCCTTCCAATTCTGTCCCTGTCAAACTCTAAGACCCTATTAGAGTCTACAGTTAGGAAGATGCTCAAGATGTACCATTGCACAGAACAACACTTGAAGTATTAAGTGTAAGTAAATAATTTCAGTGTGGTGTAGTGGATAGAGTGACAGACTAGGACTCAAGAGGCTTGGGTTATAATTCCTGCTCAGACATGGAAACGTGCTGGGGGTATGAAACTGGTAAAGCTACCCTTTAAATATCTCACTTACCTTGAAAACCCTATTATGGTTGCTATAAGTCAGTTCCAACTTGACTGCACATTACAACAACACAAAAAAACCTCATGGGCACCGTGCAGTTCTATATATGAGAAATCATCAAACTGACCAACTCAGGAAGTGAGTGCAGGGCAGATATGTTAATTAAACAAATTTTGTAGGATATTTCTCCAAAAGTAAAGTTGCACTGACTCTGACAGTAGTAGTGCAGTACTGCTAAGAAACTAGCTTGTGTGGAATGTCCCTTCAACCATGAAGGTGAGGGATATCTTGCTATCCAATACACCAGCTCATGAGGAAAACAGCAAGATGACAATGGGCACAAGAAGTGGACCCTCATGATTTGCTCACATAGTATGGTGTTTCTTATAGCAATTTGTGTTATGGAGCTCTAGACCTGATAGAGGAACAAAGCAAAGAGACGATGGATGGATAATAATCTCAAAGAACTGATTTTTTGATAACTTTTTGAGACAAGTGGCCACAAATAATTAAAGGAATTGTTTATGAGGCACACATTTACAACAGTCCCAATCAACAATGATGACTATTGTTTCCATATGACCACCAGTTTGGAACTGAGTAAACAAACTGGGTTCTCTTGAAAATGTTACTGGAAGCTGACACCAAAAAAGAGAAAATCAAGAACAAATTTGATTTGCAGTCTTTCTACTTATGAGAAAAACTTGTCAGAACAGAAGAAGCCTCATTTAGAGGTGTGGATCATAGTCATAATCTTGTCTATATAATTAAGGTGGCACTGGATCATGTAAACTGGTTAGCAAAGCAAATAAGGCCTGCAGCAATTTGGGAACTGAGAGCCTCCCCAAAGCAAAAAGGGGGAAAAGAAAAGCAAAAGCATGGTTCTGTGTACGGTTCCCAATAAACTGGATCTTCTCCTCAGAGCAAATATAGCAACTGACCAATTTCAGAAAACCTAATGTGTCAAGGAAGTGAGGTGCCATATCAAGATGTGGAAAAAGAAGGGTTTTAAGATACCCACATGTAGATTATTAACTACAGTAAGATATATTATCTTCTGCTGTACAACTAGGTAGTGTTTGCAGAAATAGGTTTTGCAAAAGATTTTTGGATTCACTAATAGGTAAATGGATGAAGTCAATGTGCAAAACTTTGGTGGCCAACAGCAAAACACTGATATTTCCTATGCTGAAATCTGATAGACTCTATTACCTTTCAAACTGCCATGAAGTACCTGCTTACCTTGAGGAGTAAAAAAAAATGTCCCTCAGGAAAACCATACAGAACTGTTTCAGGCAGAGGCATCTACTGACTCCACAAAGGTGTATATCAGGGCGAAAAACCTCCATCATGCTTGGAAACCACAAGATGGCAGGAATTAAAACTCAAGATGGGCATTGCCTTGAAAAACAATCTGTACCACCACTATTGTGAGGATATAAACCTCTTGAAGGAAGAGGAAGTGGTTAAAAGAGTCCAAAAATTGCCACAGATAGAAAATACTGTACAACTATGGCATACCCTAACCAAAACTATTACAACCCAGGTAATTTGCACGGTATTGTCACTAGTTTCAGAACAGTTCCAGGATAAGACTTGCAATAGTTCCGGGATGACACCTACAAAGGAAACTGGTCAGTATACAAGTGATGAAGTGTGTTGGATGCTACGTTAATGAAGTCTGGGCAGGAATACGTGACTCCATTCAAACAACTCTGTCTTGACAGGAAATGCCTTAGATTTCAACTTGGTAGAGAAATGTTTACTTGCTGTATCTTATGACTGACAATACAAAGGTAGCAACGGAGGACAGCTCTGAAACTGGCATCTACAATGGACCCTCGACTTACAGAGTTTTCGAGTTACAGACTTCTCTGGCCGCAAAATTTAGGTTCGACTTGCAGCCGGAGAATCAACTTACAGACCAGAAAAACACCAAAATGGAACAAAAACGGCCGGTTACAGATTAATCGGTTTTCAATGCATTGTAGGTCAAAGGAGACTCGACCTACAGACTTTTCGACCTGCAGACACCATTCCAATACAGATTAATTCCGTAAGTAGAGGGTCCACTGTAGACGCATAGTATCATGGATAGGGCAAGACGACTGATGAGGGAAGGGTTCAGTGTTTGTAGTTTCTGTTGCATATTCCAGTTCACTAGC